CTTTTTCTTCAGTTTGACCAGAGAGAGACAGACAGAAGCAGGGAGAGTCAGTAAGTAAGTCACCAAGTCCAGAACTCAAACTATTATTAGCTATATGGCAGTCCAATGCTCAACCACCACACCACCTGCCAACTCCTGTACTTTGTTAATTGTGGTCACTTTACTGTGCCATGTAAATTTAATGTAAAATTTATTTATTCTACTTAACTATACTTTTTTGTCCAATAACTGGGATCTCTCTACCTCTGTCTCCCTGGTATCATTCCAGTATTCTAGTCACTTTCTCTTGTAGACCAGCTCTTGTAATTTTGACAAATAAGAGAATAGGCAATATCTGTCTTTCTAAGTCTGGCTTATTCACTCAAACTAGGCAGGTGGCATTGTGGTTAAGGCCCTGGACTTACATGGCCAACTGCAGTTTGGGTTCTGGACCTGGTGGTTTTCTTTCTTACTTTCTGTCTCTCTCTGGCCAAATTAAAAAATAATAATAATTAATAAAATTAAATAATTCACTGGAAAACTAATTATTTAATTTTATTAATTATTATTTTTAAATTTTTGCTATCAGGCACACATTCAGCAAAGAAAGACACAGAGAGTGAGTAAAAGTAAGCCTCCAGGTCCAGAACTTGAACTGTGGTTGGCCATGCGGGAGTCCAGCACCTTGACCACATGACACCTGCAAGCTCCTGAATAGATTTTGAAGAGTGTCAGTTTTTAATTTATCATTTTAAAATTTCCTTTGAGTACCACTGGCCTTTACATTTACTTATGTTTTCTCCTAAGTCCTGTAAGTTTAGCTTGTTTCTTTTGATCTTTTTTTCCCTTCTTATATGATTACAACTAGTCTCTTGGAGCTTATTGAATCTTTTTTTTTTTAATCAGTTGTGTTGAGACTCATATATATATATATAGATTTAGTTTGTAATAGGATGGATGCCTTCATGAAGACAGAGAGAGAAAGAGGAAGAGAGGAAGGGGGAAGAGATGGAAATCACACCCTCCAAAGAGATGACTACACCACAATCCCTTTTCTTCCATTCTCCCCAGATTTTGGTTGTACACACACATGTATTTGTCTGGCATATTTTCCAAGCCCCTAAGTCAGGGACTCAAATCACACAGTTAGCAATGTGGAGTTTAGTCCATTTAATCACCATAAAACTTGGCTGGTATATTTTAGTTCATTTATTGTATTTTCTTTTTACGTTTTGATCTTTGCCACAGGGTGCATGCATGATTCTCCCCAGATTTTGGTTGTACACACACATGTATTTGTCTGGCATATTTTCCAAGCCCCTAAGTCAGGGACTCAAATCACACAGTTAGCAATGTGGAGTTTAGTCCATTTAATCACCATAAAACTTGGCTGGTATATTTTAGTTCATTTATTGTATTTTCTTTTTACGTTTTGATCTTTGCCACAGGGTGCATGCATGCTCACCAGAGACAGAGACAGAAAGTGAAAAATCATGCCCCGGGGAAGATGGCAATACCAGAATCCCTTCTCCTCCGAGTTTTAAGCAACTGGGTCTGGGAGTTGAACTGTGGCCAATTACATGGGAGTCCAGCAACACAACCATTACATTATCTGCTGGTCCCCACTTATTGTATTTTTAAGCTCCAAGGTTTACCTGATATTTTTTAAATAATTATTTAATTTTTATTTATCATTATATTTAAATTTGCTGTAGGGCACATGTGCTCACCAGAGACATACAGAATGAGAGAAAATAGGAAAAAGCAAGCCACCACGTCTGGGACTCAAACAAGGATCAGCAATGTAAGTGTTCAGCACTGAACTATCATGCCACATTCTGATCCCAGCATATTTGGTATTTATTTTTTTATTTCATTTTCTTTCATACATTTAATCACATTATTTAGCTTACAAAGTGAATATTCCAACACGGGAAAATGTCTCCCTAGTCAGGTGATAAACTACAAGGTTTTATTCAACAGATAATACCACATTTCTTTGTTCCATTAATGCCTTTACCTCTTTATTTTTCTTCTGAATGTCCTTCCTCAGACTCTACTCTTTCACACACATTATATACGGTATTCATATCCACTTACTGTGTTTCTGTATCTTTTAGTCAATCACTGTCAGTCATAGAGTGCAGACATTCATTATATATTGAATAGGGACATACAATGTCTCTCTTTCATTGCCTGGCTTGCTTCACTAAGCAGTAAAATTTCCATAATCTTCCATTTTCTGTCAAAAGACAGGGTCCTGTTTTATATGGCTGAATAGTAATTTATAGAGTATATATACACAGTTCTTCAATCCATTCATCTGTTAGTGGGCATTTGGGTTGGTTCCATGTCTTTGCAATTGTGAATAGTGCCACAATTAACGTTGACGTGCAGGGATTGTTCCGATTTAGAATTCTTCTGTTCTCTTGGTAGAAACCAAGTTGTGGGATTGCTGGATCATAAATAGTTGAATTTGTAGATTTCTGAGGAATCTCCAAATTGTTCTCCACAGTAACTGGATCAAATTACATTCCCCAGAAAGACCCAGTGCCAGGCCTCTGGCCAGCCAGTGATTCTGAGGCACCTACCTCTCCTGCAGACAGGAGCCTCAGTGCCCAATCCCTAGGTAGGTAGGTCACCATTACTTTCTGCTTTGCATGTTAAGCACCTTTATTCTCTTGTTAATTTCCTGTTCTTCCTCCTCTCACAGTTTGTCCTGTCCTCCCATGCAGGACACAGACAGACCCAGCTGCAGGCCTCTGGCCAGCCAGTGATTGTGAGGGAGGGACATCACTGCCCACCAACCTCTCCTGTAGTAAGGAGGCCCAGCGCCCACTTACAAGGTAGCCTGTTCTGTCCCAGGCGGCAGGCCACAGACAGACCCAGCGGAAGGCCTCTGGCCAGCCAGTGATTCTGAGGCATGGATATCACTGCCCACTTAACTCTCCTGAAGACCCCAGCCCCAGTGACCACATGCTAGCCTGTCCTGTCCCCAGCTGGAAGCCACAGACAGAGCCAGTGCCAGGCCTCTGGCCAGCAAGTAATTTTCTGTGGCAGAAACATCACTGTCCACCTACCTCACCTGCAGAAACCAGCCCGAGTGCCCACCCACTAGGTAGGAAGGTCACCATTACATACTGCTAAGGATTTTAAGCTCTTTTATTCTCTTGTTAATTTCCTGCTGTTCCTCCTATCACAGCCTGTCCTGTCCCTGGCTACAGGCCACAGACAGACCCAGCACCAGGCCTCTGGCCAGCCAATTATTCTGAGGCAGGGACATCACTGTCCACCTACTTCTCCTGCAAACCCAAGACCCAGTGCTCACCCACTAGCCTGTCCTGTCCCCGGCTGCAAGCCACAGACAGACCCAGCGACAGGCCTCTGGACAGCCAGTGATTCTGAGGAAGGGACATCACAACCCACCTACCTCTCCTGCAGACCCCAGCCCCAGCGTCCACCCACTAGGTAGGTAGGTCACCATTACTTTCTGCTTTGGATTTTAAGCTCCTTTATTCTCTTGTTAATTTCCTGCTCTTCCTCCTCTCACAGCCTGTCCTGTCCCTGGATGCAGGCCACAGACAGACCCAGCGCCAGGCCTGTGGCCAATAAGTTATTCTGAGGCAGGGACATCACTGCCTACCTACCTCTCCTGTGAAACCTCAGGACTAGCACCCACCCACTAACCTGTCCTGTCCCCAGCTGCAGGCCACAGACAGAACCAGCGGCAGGCCTCTGGCCAGCCAGTGGTTGTGAGACAGGTACATCACTGCCCACCTACCTCTCCTGCAGACCACAGCTTTATCGCCCACCTGCAAGACTGTCCCCGGCTGCAGGACACACCCAGTGCCAGGCCTCAGGCCAGCCAGTGATTCTGAGGCAGGGACATCACTTCCCACCTACCTTTCCTGCAGACCCCAGCCCCAGCGCCCACCCACTAGGTAGGTAGATCACTTTACTTTTTCCTTGATTTTGAGCCCTTATATTCTCTGGTTAATGTCCTGTTCTTCCTCCTCTCACAGCCTGTCCTGTCCCCGGCTACAGGCCACAGACAGACCAGCAGCAGGCCTCTGACCAGCCAGTGATTCTGAGGCACAAACATCACTGCCCCCATACCTCTCCAGCAAACCCCAGCCCAGGTGCTGACCCTCTACCCTGTCCTGTCCCTGGCTGCAGGACACAGACAGACCCAGTGGAAGACCTCTGGCCAGCCAGTGATTCTGAGGCAAGGACATCACTGACCACCTACCTCTCCTGCAGACCCCAGCCCCAGCACCCACCTGCTAGGTAAGTAGCTCATCATTACTTTTAGCTATGGAGTTTAAGCTCCTTTATTCTATTGTTAATTTCCTGCTCTTCCTCTTCTCACAGCCTGTCCTGCACATGGCTTCATTCCACAGACAGACCCAGCGACATTCCACTGGCCAGTCAGTGAATCTGAGGCAGGGACATCACTGCCCACCTACCTCTCCTGAAGACCCCAGCCCCAGAGCCCACCTGCTAGCCTATACTGTCCCCGGCTGCATGCCACAGACAGACCCAACAGCAGGCCTCTGTCCAGCCAGTGATTCTGAGGCAGGGCCATCACTGCCCATGAACCCCTAATGCTGAACCCAGCCCCAACTCCCACCAGCTAGGTAGGTAGGTCACCATTACTTTCTGCTTTGAATTTTAAGCTCCTTTATTCTCTTGTTAATTGCATGCTCTTCCTCCTCTCACAGCCTTTCATGTCCCTGGCTGCAGGCCACAGACAGACAGTGCTGGACCTGTGGCCATCCAGTGATTATGAGGAATGAACAACACTGCCCTCCTACCTCTCCTGCAGAACCCAGCCCCAGCGCCCACCCGCTAGTCTGTCTTGTCCCGGCTGCACGCCACCA